TTGTGATTTCATTTTTTTAAAGAGCTATTTACTTTGATATTTTTTGGCTGGAGCTCTGCTTTAAAGTGTAATTTCAGATTCTTACACATACCTGAGGGGATCTATTTAAATCTACTTCTGAGTTTGTTTTAGTTTCTATATAATATAGCAGTTTAAAGGGCCACCTAAAATTAATTTATGGGTTGATATCAGAGAAAGAGTTATGTTAGAGTATGTATAGGCAAAATATTTTACGTTTTGTGTAGTGTTAGAACTACTGTCAAATTTGTATTGCTGTCCAGGTCCCACTGGGGAGACTCCCTCTCTATTGGTCTTGATGGCCATTATCAAAACAGAAAATGATGGAACATCTAACATTTTACAGTTGTCCCCAGATCAGAAATAAAAGATAAACCTTTCAATGGGGACACTTCTGTCATCTGTGAAGTGAAAAGTGCTTGTGCAAAAAATAAGTGCTATAAATGAATATAATGCCATGAGAGGACACGGCAGGTCTTGCGGCTGGTATGAAATTGCTACAGTCTAGCCAGAAGGCATGCCTATGAGGCGCATGCAAGAAAAGCAATATGCTGGAGTGACCTAGTGCCAGGTGCCACACTGAGGGGTCCCATACCCATTGTGTTTCTCTGGGATGCCAATCCCCGGGGGCACATCTCCGGAAGCTCCTTGCACTTCCAGCCTCTAGCCAGACAAGGGCAACCCCATTCCTACCAGAAGGTATCGGCACCAGAGGAGCTCCTGATTACAACTGGGGAAAAGCCTGGTGCGCGGGGCCAAAATCAACCCAGGAGGAAAGCACCCGCGCCCCCTCCCCAGGCACTTCATCTTAGCAAAAGGTAGAGAAGCGTGGTTTGGGGACTACTTTTTAAGAGTGGAATTCCTCTCACTTTGAAGAGATTTATTCTCCCTTCCTGTGCCATCTGTACGAAAGGAAGTGAAGGGCAGTCTCCCCAACCGTATGGAGACAAAACTAAACTTGGGGGAGTTTTAACCTTTCCCAAAACTATTTTAGGTATACATACACTTTAGTTAAATGTCAGTCAACTGACACTCCATTGACTATAGACCCTTAAAGGAATTGTAGGAAAAGAATGTTTCCCATCATACCCAGCACAGTCCCACTCACAGCTGCCATCTGATTGGCTGACTTAGCCCTTCCACTCCACATTTTATTCAGGAGACCCATTGCTGCTGTGTGGTGGGACTTTTCTCCACTCCAGATTCATAGAATCTTTCTACAAGCTTCCTTTTTAAGCAGGGTGATAGTCTGGGGAGTCTTGCTGACTGCGTCATAAAAAATAAAAGAAAGTCACCAGTGGTCTGAGTCATTGCTATATCCATCCACTTTGTCTTCTCCCCTGGCTTTTGCTGTGCTTGTGTTGTAGATGACATTCCCCGGGAGGGATCAATCTTTCCAGAACGTAGTTCTTTCTGCTCTAATCTGGAGCTTCCTTTCTGTTTTATTGAACTCGAACACAGTCGTTCCTAAACTTGGCTTTCTAGTGTTGGTGAAGTAGAGAATGCCACGGAGCATGTTTTTTCAGCATCAGAAAGGGAATTTGTCAGAAAGCAGAAATTCCTGTGACATTGGCACGAATAGATGTTGACGTTCCCAGACACATGTCACATAATAGCCCTGGATCTGTGACGCTAATCCAATTCACTGAATCACAACCTTGAAGCAGGAGTAGGGAAATGCTGCTTACGTTATAGCCCAATCACGAAGGCATTTTGCTTCAATCCTGCATAGTCAATAACAGTGTTTATAACGGGATAAAATTATAAGGCATTTCCAAGCATCGTCAGTGAACTGGCCAGAAAACAATGCAGCTGTGCTAAAGTCTAGTTTTAGGAAACCCAAGATATGAATAAATTAGCAGACGGCACACCATCCTCTTGTCATAGGAGTCTGTATTTTTCAGCTTATCTTTTTTCGTGCTATATTGTGTGTGGATGAGCCTGGGGGGGCTGTGCTGAAACCATGTTGGGGTTTTAGATAGTGGGACAGCCAAGTACAAGATGAATGCTAGGTCAAAAATTGGTGTCTGGTACAGTGGTCTTTATTCTACGTCCCTTTGCTTTCCTTTTAACCAGCTATTGACGCACTATTCCTCCCACTAATACCAACAATGGGGCACTATTCCTTCCAATGACATCAAATATGGGGCACTATTCCTCCCACTGATACCAACAATGGGACACTATTCCTCCCACTAATACCAACAATGGGACACTATTCCTCCCACTAATACCAACAATGGGGCACTATTCCACCCACTGATACCAACAATGGGGCACTATTCCTCCCACTGATACCAACAATGGGGCACTATTCCACCCACTGATACCAACAATGGGGCACTATTCCTCCCACTGATACCAACAATGGGGCACTATTCCTCCCACTAATACCAACAATGGAGCACTATTCCTCCCACTGATACCAACAATGGGGCACTATTCCTCCCACTGATACCAACAATGGGGCACTATTCCTCCCACTGATACCAACAATGGGGCACTATTCCTCCCACTGATACCAACAATGGGGCACTATTCCTCCCACTGATACCAACAATGGGGCACTATTCCTCCCACTGATACCAACAATGGGGCACTATTCCTCCCACTGATACCAACAATGGGGCACTATTCCTCCCACTGATACCAACAATGGGGCACTATTCCTCCCACTGATACCAACAATGGGGCACTATTCCTCCCACTGATACCAACAATGGGGCACTATTCCTCCCACTGATACCAACAATGGGGCACTATTCCTCCCACTGATACCAACAATGGGGCACTATTCCTCCCACTGATACCAACAATGGGGCACTATTCCTCCCACTGATACCAACAATGGGGCACTATTCCTTCCAATGACATCAAATATGGGGCACTATTCCTCCCACTCATACCAACAATGGTGCACTCATCTTCCACTGACACCAATGAGGACCCTTGGTCTAAAGACGTGTACACGCAGGTTCCTATTTGAACAAGAGCAATTCGTACATAAGTTTACAAAGCATGTGCAAAGCTTTTGGCAAGCTTCAGGCAGGTTTGTTGAAGCCCTTGTTAAAGCAAACTTTAGCTCCTTAGTGAGAGTTCTGGCTGCCACTTTAAACAATCTGCCAGCAGGCTTCAGTAGGATTTCATCATGTTTCAAGTCATACCAAAGCTAGCAGGTTGTTTGAAGTGGCAGCTTGCGGTCCCATTAAGATCCGCGTTTAACATCTGTGAACTAGAGCTGAAGGTTGCTTTAAAAAAATAAATAAAAGGTTGCTTCATGAAAGCTTGCTGTATACACTTCTTCTATTGAAGCTGAAGCCCATGTGAACAAGGCTTTGGTGAAAAATTGTTTGATGGCAAATGTGAATTTATTTATTGGTTTCTCCAGATAACTTCAGATTTCTTAAAGTTCCACCTTGAAACCGGTGCAAATATTTCTTGACTTTCAATCCGGGTACTAGTAGGGCATGAAGCTGAGGACGGCCATTTACAAAATGGCAAGCTAGGGACTTTTCAGTTCATAGGCTCATGCACACGGGTGCAGTACAATACTGATCTGTACACCGGCAGAAAAATCTGCCACGAAACACATGTAATGGTCCAAAAAGTGCTTCTATTTACACACGTAAACATTGACATCCATAAAAATTCTTCCATTCCTCTAGGTCTTTATGAGTTTTCACTCCCAGCATGTACACATGAATCACGCAGAAATACTGACTGTGGACGCAGAGTTTTCTACTTTTTATTTGACACAGCATTAGATTACTGAGCATTCATGGGCCCATTATATGCAATGCATCTACAACGTTCGGGTCCGTCAAAAACTATACACTGTACGGATCTGAACGTTTGCGTTGTTTACGCCCATGTGGGGGGAGCCTTAAGATAGATGCTCATAGGATTTTGGTTAGGACTACTGGATGATTTCATGAGATCAGGTCCAGGGCTGAAACTCCAGGGGACTGATGAGGTCCAGCGGCAAGTGCAGGAGCTTCAGCCTCTTGGCTTCTATCGTGCTACAGTGGATGCCATAACAGTAGCTTAGGGGAAAATGTGGATAACATCTGTGATGTTCTCACTATTTCCTGGAGAGTTCTGGGGCTGTGCCGGAGGCAAGCAGCGATGATGCAGTTCCACGCTTCCCCCCTGTTATAATAGATCACTGTAAAAGCAATATATTGATTACTAATAACCCTTCCCTGTCCTCTGCCAGGTAGGTTGGCCGGATGGTGGCCATTCTGGATGACACTGACCATTTTTACATGAGCCTCAATGGTGCGCAATGTCATTCTGCATGTGCCCAGTACTCACCCCAGTTTCACACAAACCCAAATGAATCTTATCCTAATGTTGCAGTAATTGTAAAAATAAATAAAGTTTTTCTATCTGAGGTTTAATCTCCAATTAATTCCAGAGGTGTTCTGTACAATAGCATCAAAGCACGGTTTGGAGAGCAGGGGTGGCGCCCAAAGCAGGTACTCTTTTTTTAGGCTTATGCACGTGAGCGCATGAGTCTGTAAAACATAAACTGCATGCGTATTTCCACACACGGGATACACAGCTGAGGTGTACATCCAGCCATAGTAGTGAATGGGTGGTTGTAGTCCCGTTTACACCACTACTTGCATAAACCTGCGCATGCAGCTAGTCGTGTAAAGGGGGTACGCCAATACGCATACGCGGGTTTACACAAGTAGCTTGTAAACTGGCATACAGCCATCTACATCCATTCACTACAATAGGAGGCTGTACACTGCTGCTGTGTATCCCAGGTGTGGAAATATGCCCGCAGTTTACATTATTTGGCCCCCTCATGCACCTTTTGTGCATGAGGCCTAAAGCACAGATTTAGAGTCTTGAAATATATCAACGATAGAAAATGCAGAAACAAAGATATACTACTGTAAAAGGTACCACTACTTGGGATGAAATAATATTCCATGACGTTTTGGTTATTAAATGTTTCTTTTTTAATGCAGAAAGAAGACATGGTTCCTCCAGCAAGGCCCCTCTGACACCTCCATCATCATCATCTGTGTATTCCCACTTCTCCACCACGCCTTCAACTAAAAACAAAGTGGCCGGCAGCAGCACGCGGACATCCAGCAGTGCTAGTGGTAGTGCCTCCTCCAACTCCAAGCTGATAAAATCTCCCAAAGAAAAGCTACAGATAGGCGGCAACAACAGGTCGATGCATCCGACGCAACACTGCAAAGCAACACAAGACAAGATGTAAGTTACACTTCTCCTCGGTGTAAGAAATTGCAGGGCAGTGGTAAACTAGAGCAGTTTGTGCCTAATCTCCTACTCCTTACCATGTTAAAGGGACAATAATATTTGGATCCAGTCAAACATCTCATTGATAGTGATGGCTGTTGAATAATCTGGTTATCCAGTTGTTTCTTTTGCAATCTGCAAATGTAGTATTTCAGACCACATCCTCCTAATTTGGCTATAGGGACTGGTACACACAGGCTTTTTTTTTTTCTTGCCACAGGTTACATTTGTGGGGGTTCACCTGACACAGGTAGCAATTAAAAATTTAATTTTGGTGATTTGCAGGTTCGACAGCATTTGTATATAGAATAAGTCATTTATTTTATTTTTTCGTGCAGTGAGCGGTTTGCTGTTGCATAGATCGTTTTGTTAAAAGTCAAATTGTATTCCTTCCTTCCTTCTCCCTTTCTTCTTCTTTCCTCTTTCTCCTTTCTCCTTCCTTCCTGCTTTCTCCTTCCTTCCTTCTCCTTCCTTCCTTCTTTCTCCTTCCTTGTTTCTCCTCCTTCCTTCTTTCTCCTTCTTCTTCTTTCTCTTTCGTCTGCTTTCTTCTTTCTTTCTCCTGCTTTCTTCTTTCTCCTACCTTCTTTCGCTTTCTTCTTTCTCCTCCTTCTTTCGCTTTCTTCTTTCTCCTCCCTTCTTTCGCTTTCTTCTTTCTCTTTCTTCTTTCGCTTTCTTCTTTCTCCTCCCTTCTTTCGCTTTCTTCTTTCTCCTCCCTCCTTCTTTCGCTTTCTTCTTTCTCCTCCCTTCTTCTTTCTTCTTTCTCCTCCCTTCTTCACCCATTTTATATTCCACATTTTAGGCCTGAAAATGACTTAAAACCCCCCAACATTATATATTTTCTGAATGCCAAGACCCTATAGAATAAAATGGTGGTAGTTGCAAATTTTTATGTTGCGCAATATTAGCGCAACTCCTTATTAAACCCCAACATTTAGAGAAAAATTTAATTGAATGCCCCAAAACACAACAAAATACCAATTTTTTAAATGACATATAAAAGATGAGGTTACAACGAGTAAAACGATACCCAACATGCATAGGTTACAAATTGCGTGCGTCCGTGAAACGGCGAAAAACTGCAGTACCCCAAAAAGTCAATAGAAGACGCTTTAAAAGCCCCCACAAGTCATCAATTTAGAGATACCCCAAAATACTGGCCCTAGAATTATTGCTCTCACTCCAGCGTTCGCGGCGATACCCAACATGTGTAGCGCATTCGTCTTTTTCATATGTAGGCGTGGCGACGCGCGTGCTCGCGGGGGCGGGGGACTTTAAAAAATGTTTTTTTTATTATTATTAGATTGATTTCATTTAAATGTCCCATTTAAGCTGACGAGTTCAGTTCTGGTTAAACTTCCTGTGCTTGGGTCTAACTATTGTGCCCAGATGTTGGTGAACTTCTGTAGAGTTCCCCCGTGCCGAGAGGTTTGCTTTTCCAGTTTTAATGTTTGGGTAACACCGTTAACCCTACAGGGTTGGTGGGGCAAAGGAGGTCCAATCTTGAGCATTTTCCTGGCTAGTTACAACGCTGACATTGTAAATAGCAGTTTTTAACATCAGTTTTAGTTTGTCCAGTACCACAAGTCCTTGGTGCCACTACTTTGGGTGGGTTTTATATTGAGACTATGTATTATGATTATACTGTTTGGGCTTTTTTATTCCATGCTACTGGAATGAGTAAAGAACAGCCACACCAGTGACAGGCTGTGATTAGCCACCAATAGTATTGATGAGTCTTTCATTTGCTAAAAGTTTATTGTCTCTCCCCACAGAATGACCCCATCTGTTAAAGTGGAGAAAATGCATACAACCCAAAAAACGGATGGTGCGTTGCAAAAATCGGCTGCTGGGTCTACCTATTCCTCTTCTGTCAGCTCCTCAGTAAAGACTGGCCTTAACTGGCAATCAATACCAAAGCCACCTTTGCCTTCCCCTGGACAGATACCAAATGGTAAAGGAATTCTCTCGACTCCTCCGAATGTGGAAAAGAAAGCTGAAGATTCAAACTGTAGGAAATATTTACACAAGAGATTGTCAGGTATGTACAACTCCTTCTTTTTTTATAGGTATGTTTCCTAATACTACTGTCTAACCTCCTGCTGCTTTAAGGTTTTTTGGAAGGTGGGTTTACCTGGTTTATTCACTTCCATGTGCCCAAATCCTATGGCCTGCCACTTGAAAGTCCTAGTCCACCTGGCTTCCAGGTTCCACCAGCCGTCTTGTCCACTTCCTTACACAAGAAGCCTTACACACTCAATAGAAGCCTTTTGGGAAACCTTTGGCTTGCAGAAAATGCACATTGGTCTGTAGATACTGCAGCAACGTTCAGTAGCATCGGCATGTCCTCTGCTTAAAGTGACATTAAAGTCAAATGAGGTCTCTTAATCCGATCATCATCATCTTTACTGTACTTTTCTGCTGTCCCTCCAGCACTAGTGCGGCTCTCCGATCCAGCGCTGACTCATCTGTCCGCCTCTTCTCTCATGTCCCACGTAGTCTGTGCGGGTGCACGCTGCTCCATAGACTTGCCTTGTGTGTCTCCTCGTCTCCCGGCCGAACATCTGAAGTGTGCATGCGCCCGCCCCAAGATCCTTTGCGACTCTTCAGATGTTTGGGCGGGAGCGCGCGGCAGAGAGACAAGGTGATTTTAAACACTTTTTTATAAATGGGGTTGTTTTTTTTTCATATATCTGCTGCTTGCTTAATAACCCTTTAAGCTTTATCTGCAGCAGCTCATCATTTGTTTAACCAGTTGCCGTCTGCCCGTTGTAAAAAAAACGGACGGACGGCACTGCTGCATTGGTGGGTTGCCGTCTCCAGACGGCATTTTTTTTTCTGCTCGCGCACCGTTACCGGGTGTTTCACATATAGACGATCGTCGGCTCTGTATCCTGCCGATCGTCTATATGTGCTAGTTTTTTTTATCAAATGTAAAGCAAATATGTTGCGCTCGGTCTATGTGAACCAACTGCACACTAAAGTGTTAATAAACAAATCTGTGTAAAAATTACAACAATCCGTGTGAAAAAATTGATTCAAGTGGATTATTTACATAATTTTATCACCCGCCCCCCGTCTGCTGCCGCCGCCACCGCTTTTTCGTCTCCTCACCTTCAATCCCGGGATCCGCTGCGGCCCGGGACCGGCTCGGGAGGGCGGCAGGAGGAAGAGGAAGGGAGATCAGCTCCTTGCTGATCTCCATCCAGGCTGTGAATGCAGAAGTGATGTGTATTACATCACTTCCGCATTCACCTGTCAGTCATCTGGCTGCTATAGCCAGAGAAAAGAAGCTGATGAAGCAGATCTCTGCTTCAATAGCTTCTTTTGGGGTCCACATGTGACATTAGGGGTCCTAAAGACCCCTAATGTCTCCATAAAGAGGACCTGTCAGTGTACCTTTTGCTATTATATAGGGGGATTGCTATCCCCCTATATAATAGCAATAACAATAAGTGCAAAAAAAATATATAATTTAAAAAAATAATAAAAGTCACATATAAAAAAACCCCACCAAAATGTTTAACTCCCCCACGCACATATAAACTTAAATATGTGTCCGGTGCACCAGCGCGCAAAAACGACAATTGTGCTACACACGTTACACATCGCCGCGAACGTCGCAGTTAGAGCAATATTTTTAGGGCCATCAATCACTGATGACACTAAACTGATGAGCGGTAAAAGCGTCGCCTGTGGCCAATTTGGGGTATTATCGTTTTTTGAGGTTGCGCGCACGCAATTTTAAGGCTTGACATGTTTGGTGTCTTTTTACCCGACGTGACCCCGTCTTTTATATTTTGCCAAAAAATTGGGTAATAATAAATGTTTTATCATTTTAATATAGGGGAAACAGGTTTTTTTTTTTGTAAAATTGCGGTAATTTTTCCTTAATATAGTAAAAAAATAAAAACCCCAGTGGTGAATAAATACCACTAAAAGAAATCTATCTGTCCCCAAAAATGGTATAAAATTAATTTCAGTACAGCGCTGCATGACGGAATAAATGTCAGTCAAAGTATCGCAGCGCTGAATACTGAAAAATGACCTGGATGGGAAGGGGTTTAACATAGCGGATGTCAACTGGTTAACCGACTGCCAGGCTATTCTGATCCGGCACAGATTCAGCACTTTCTTCTAGTGCTCAAGCTTGCCCATGTCCTCCCTCTGTCTGCACATTCGTTTTGGCTAGTAAAGCAGCCCATCATAGTTTTGGACCCATAGGAATGTGCTGGGGCGTAGCATAAGTGTGGGGGCTTTGTCTGATTAGAACAGCCCAGCTTTTAGGTAGACTGGAGGATGCTGAAAGCTGCAGATATGTTCCTGCAATTTATACCAGTTAGCCGGCATTGGTATTATTAAAGTGGCAGTCTCTTTATGATGGTTGTGCGTGTTGGTTAGAGGATCTTTTTCATTCCTAATCATTTTAGAATGAACATTGTATGGCCATATTTTCTCAGACCTGGACCTTAAAAGGGCAAAAAGTACTTTCAAGGAGAGCCAAAAGACTTTAATGTAGTTGGGCATATTGTGATCCCAGAGCAACTTGCTCAAACTCGCACAATGTGCTGCGCGAGTCACTTCTCTTTAGACTACAGTGCCTTTTCTATAGGCTTCCCCTTCTCTCCCATGTGGTTGTGTTATTGCTACTATGAGGGTAGTTGGTGCCAAGTGTGAAAAGTTGTGTAAGCATGGAAGATAAATGCACAATAATGTAATAAAACCACAGTATCTGCCCTCATGGCACATTTCATTTGGGATACATCTTCATTAGTTTCCCTGCCCTGGATTAGACAGGTTCATGTTGCCGCTGTCTGTAGTTTTGGTTTCCAATGACTTACTGTGACACATTCTATAGATCGAGAGTTTGACCCCGATATACACTGTGGAGTTGTCGATGTTGAGACAAAGAAGCCCTGCACTAGATCTCTGACATGCAAGGTAAGTCATGATTTCCCCTATTTTGCTACTCGTGTATCAATGGCTCAGCTACTTAAAATCAGAACTGTGTGGAGCACCATTTTGTGTAATGGCCACATAACATAAGAGTGATTTCAGAGACCAAATGTGTTTGTATGGGAAAAGAACACTGTTTAAATGAAGGGAAAGGTTGTCACTGGGACAGGAAGTCACAGACAGTAATGAGAACCTCACAGAGGTTCTAAGTCAGAGGTAGGCAATCGTGGCATGCCAGCTGTGGTGAAGCTAAAATGCCATCGTGCCCCCTGCCTTTGGTAGTCATTTCTGTCACTGTACTTCTTGCAGTGCCTCATGGGACTTGCAGTTCCACAACAGCTGGAGTGCTGAGGTTGCCTACCTGTGTTCTATCCCTTCCCTATTTACCTGGAACAATGTGTTGTGTTTCAGTCTGTGTCCCTGCTGGAGAGATTTTCCTTCACTTCTTGTGCTGACGGGAAATGAGGGGAAATCTCCCCAATGGAGACCCAGACTGAAATAAAACGCTGGCAGAGGTTCGAGCTTTCCCGAGTCGAAAACATAAAAAATAAACTTTTGGCTAAGGGACATGACCTGCAGGTTTCAGGCCTAGATTAGGTAAGCTGGGCCTAGCTGTAAGTGGAGCAATAAACCTTCAGAGACCGTAGAAGTGCAAAATGAAAAGCAATTGCAAAAAAGTCATTGAGAGACAGACATATTTTCCAAAGAGCTTTGTTTTATGAATCTCCTCCTGCCAGCCTCACTAACGTAACCCATTTCTTCCCTAGGCACATTCCTTAGGCTACCGGAGAGCAGTACAAGGGCGCAAGAAAGGTTTTGACGCGTTATTAGCTGAGCACAAAAATAAAACCAGGGAAAAAGAACTGCTTCGTCACGCTGAGCAACAGCAGCAGCAGCAGCAGACGTCTGCGCTCAGGGAACCGCATCCCTCACCTTCAAAATCTTCCCAGGAACCGCACCAAAACTCTCATGGATTCTCTGGTACTGAAGTGAAGCCTTCAGTACCCAGCAAGGCCAAGCCTCACAACCCCAGTCTTCCAAGGTCAGGCTGCTTGCTTGATGTAACCCTAACCCAAGCTATTGTTTTTCTGTCATTTTGTGGGGGGAAGGGGGACGACATTTGTGATGGATACGTGACGTGGGACATAAACAACAAAGCTTGCATATGTGTAGAGGATTTGCAACATGCATGTCAGAAAGGTTTCAATTTGTCACAGGAGTGTAGCAGTTTCTGTGCCCTATACATGGTGCAGAAGCAGCAGAATTCTGCCTGGTCTTACTAAGTGCAGATCTAGTCTGCAGAGGGAGATTGAGCTGGGGGAAGCTCTCTCCTCCATCTGCCCAGTTTAACCGAAGGGAGGAAGCAGCCAGCAGGTGCCTTGTGATTAGTGATGGGCTCGGGCGTGTTCGCAGCTCCACGTGCCGAGCCCGTCAGGAAGCTGACAACGCCGCAGTGCCAATCACAGGCACGGAGACATTTCCTGATCTCTGCAGCTGCCGACCGGGATAATGTCTCAGTACCTGTGATTGGCGCTGTCAGCTCCCTGGCTGGCTCGGCACGTGGAGCTGCGAACACGCCCGAGCCCATCACTACTTGTGACGAGTGTCCAGTTGGGCATTCAGCGGAGGTAGCAGGCAGCAGGTATTGCGCTGTCACTGTGCAATATAAGCCAAATAAACAGAGGTCCCTGAAGGGAATTTATCAAAAGTGGAGCAGACAAAATCTGGAGCAGCTGTGCATGGCAACCAATCAGCTTCTCTCTTTGATTTTCAAATCTTAACTGAAGATAGAAGCTGATTGGTTGCCATGTACAGCCGCTCCAGATTTTGTCTGCTCCAGTTTTGATAAATTCTCTTCCCTGTTTATTAGGGGCACTGTGCACATGTTTGTTTGTACAAATATGCATGGCGCAGTGAAACAGTCTAATGTATTCTTTCCCAAGATGCATTCCCAGCTTTGTTAAAGTTACAAACCAGGATTTTGCCACTACCATGGTTTTTATTCATAATTATAGCAGGGCTCAAAATTTCAAGTCCTGAGCTACTAGCCAGGCCTTAAGAGTTACTCGCCACCAGTCGCCCCACCTGACCCCTACCGTGCCCCGCCCTTAACTCTGCCAGGTCAGTGGTGTGACACAGAGAACAGAGATCAGTAACAATGCAGAGTGCAGAGGCCAGTGGTGTGATGCAGAGTACAGAGGCCAGCAGTGTAATGCAGAAAAAAGCAATGTATCCTCCATGTCCCAGGTGTCCTGCTTCTCCCGTGCTGTCCTTCCAGCCAGTAGCAGCTCTGCAGTCTTCCTCCCAGCCTATGGCAGCTGAGGTGGGCGGAGGAAGCTGCAGGATCCGGTGTTCTATCGAAAGCTCCAACTCATTGAGATCTCTAACTACCTCTGGTGCTCAGAAACACTGGAGCTCTGTGCAGTGAGCTTTCGATAGAACACCGGAGTGAGGACAGCTACAGTGCGGCACTGATTCTACTCCTTCAACAGCAGCGATCGCCGTGTCAGTTCTCTTCTCGTCAGCCGCTGGCTATAGAGCGGCCGAGGAGCAGCGTTGTATTTAGGGTTTGTGCTGCCCTAGGCAAGATGAAACTTGGCACCCCCCCAATCTAAATTTGTTCCACCTCTTCCTGTTCAAGACATTTTGCATAACCTGTCAAGTCACTGGATACAGCTTCTGACAGATTGCGCTATTAGGCATCATTAGGCATCATCATTAGGCACTGCTTAAAGTCGGCCCGTACAGATCCGTGGGACGTGCAACGAGTGGAAATTTTGAGCCCTGATTATAGTGTATGTCAGGATAAAATAAGATGAAAAGAAACTCCCTTCCTTTTCTTGGAAAATCAGCATCTGCCTTAACACAATTTGTGGCGTTTGGATTAAGGTGACTGACGCTTATTAGAATTGAAGAAGTGGCTTGGATGAGCTGCAAAACATCTTCAACATTACAGAACAAGTCCTGTTGTTGAATGTGACTACTACTAGCTATACCATGACCTGGATACACAAGAACTTTCACAGACAAAAGAACACAAAATCCAGGACAGCTGTGCAATACATGCACATCAGCTCTGATGGACTACAGAACACATCCCCCTTATGTTATGGTGAGGGAAGGTGATCTGTAATCTACCAAGGTAGAACATGGCAGGGGTGACAACACTGACATACACTTATTTGTGGTTAGCTGAAACACATGTCCCATGGTGAGCAGTGTGTGCATTAGGGTGTTATTAAAAATGAATCACAGCAAACACATGCACTATAACGCTCATATGTCAATCTGTCCTTACAGGAGAACTATGAGGTGAGTGATTTCCACTCTTCCTCATAGTTGAAGCCGACGTGTGACATTGAAACTGTCACAGGTCGGCTCTATTGATCGAGAAGTGAGCGAACACATACCATCTCTTGCTCATTTCCCGATCATCTCCCTGCAGAAAGCAATGACTGTCAGTCCCCACTCCCCGCAGGGATCCCCTCCCCGTTCCGATGCTCCACCGCTGAGTGGAGGAATGCACGGCGGGGGCAGGCACAGCTGGCTCTGCCCTTAGATAGGCAGAGCCCGTTGTCAATCAGCCAGCTGAGTGGATCTCAACCTATTATTGGGATCCGTCCCAGCTTCGGCGCTCTCCGTATATAGGGAGCTATAGCCCGCTTTATACTGAGCTTTGGGTCACCGGAGGAGGTTAGTATATGTCCTCCCGTGACCTTAAAGAGAACTATGGGATAAAAAGGTTACCTCATAGTTCGCTTTTAAAGTAGGACTGTGGGCAGGCTATGGAATTTTAAACATTTCCATATTCTTGACAAGCAAGAAATAGTTTTAAAGCAAGCCATCGTCATCCTCTGAAGATGAGCTCCCTAAAGTGTCTGCAGCTACAAAGTTTACAGCAAAAGTAGGTTTGTTTTATTTCTGCAGCTCCGATCCTTCCACTTGCCAACCTTCTAATTTCTAATGGGCACAGAAAGGGGAGAGAGCAGAGTGCTGAGACCTGAAGCACCCCACTGCCTCTCTTGTGTACTTTGAGTGATTCACATCATCATCATAGTACCTACAGCTGCGTATGTCAGAGGGTTCACTTTAAATCATATTTACTGCTTGTTAGGATGATGTAAATATTTCAATGTCCATAGCTTGGCCACAGTTCTACTTTAAAGTTCATGTAGCTGTGCTGTCTACATAACAAATAGCCAGGTAATCAGATAAGTGCATTTGTTAATACAATGTGTGTGTGTGTGTGTATATATATATATATATATATATATCTAACTAGATATGGATAGGGAGTCACTATTGGATAGAATTGTGTTGTGGCTGATCGTATAGTATCTTTGTAACATCCCCTTCGCACACTGTACCGATTTACCCCAGAATCCAATGGCTACTGGAACAACTGGTGGATGGCGCCACAATATAGAATCTAGAAGATATGTTGTCCGCACACCATTCTGCTCGTAATGTCATCTTTATTCGTATTCCTTTAGCAGGACATGTGAATGCAACGTTGCAGAGCCTCAAAGGACCCCTTCCTCAGGCAAAGTGTCAAGACACTTTGCCTGACGAAGGGGTCCTGCGAGTTATATCCGTATCTTAAATTCACATGTCATGGTAAAGGAACACGAATGAAGATGACATTCCGAAGCAGAATGGTGTGCGGACAACCTATCTTCTGAATTGTAGTATGTTGCATGGAACAGAGGCAGGAGGTTCCCACAAGGTGACCTATGGACCACAAATGTAGGGATTAATTTTTCTTCCAACTATTATACCAAAATCTGAAACTGACTCCTAAATAACTTTTGGTTTTTTTACATTTTTTTTTTTTTATAGTGAATGTTGGGCATGTATAGCTGCTTATAAACACGTTCTTTTCCACTATGTGCAATCTTCAGGCCGTCAAGTTACCCAGCGCAGCACAGCGGTAATGCTCCCAACGGCTCACCATCGGTGCACGAGTCTCAACCGGTCGTACCTGCAGCTGAGCCGACCTCCCGCTTGTCTAGCGATGAGGGGGAAGGGGACGAAAAGGAGGAACCCGCTGAAAAACTGGACTGTCATTACTCAGACCACCACCCTCGGCCTGCAGCTGTAAGTATGGAGAAATCAGAAAAGATTTGGCAAACCGTCCTGATGAACTCTTAAAGTCACCATACTCTGTTGCTATCTGACTGTACTATCAACTTTAGATTTACCAAATGATATCATATAAAGTTCTGCCTCAACTACCAATCGATATCCAATCAGGGAGGCCCTTGTACAAGCAACATAGTTGTTGGTAGATCTGAAGGATGTTGTACAGAAAAACAGCAACGTGTAGCGAGTGTAATTCTTTGTATTAGCTTATCATTTAGTTTGTTGGATACAAGGCTGCTGATAATAGTGAAAACACTTCTTAGGCCTCGTTCACACCAGATGCAGTGCGTTCCGGTCCGATTCTGGCCAGAACGCACTGCCTCGCATTGCGGCCAGCTCACTTTTTAGTGGGGCAGAAGGGGGCATGGCGGTCAATTGAAGCGTGGCCGGAACACACTGAATCTAGCGTGATCGGGCCTTTACATTTAAAGTTGAGGCTGTATTATATTAGTCAGTAAATCAATGTTGGCCGGCATCCCTCGATCAGCTGATGGAAGGAGGCGCTTGGAAAATTTTCAAAACGAACAGCGGAACATATTATAGTGTATATACAGTAAAATATTAGTGTATGGGCAAATTAATTTCAACTTTAAAGGAGAACTATGAGGCGAATGAAAATCACTCAGCCTCATAGTTCTAGCCGACCTGTGACAATGAAACTGTCCCAGGTCGGCTCAATAGATCGGGAAGTGAGCGAACACATACCGTTGATCGCTCACTTCTCGATCTATCCCTGCAGAGAGCCGTGGCTGTCAATCACGGCTCCCTGCAGGGATTCCCACTCCTCTGTCCGATCCTCCAGCGCTGACTGGCGGAACTGATGGGGGAGGGCACAGCTGGCTCTGCCTCCTGATAGGCAGAACCAGCTGTCAATCCCGCAGCTGGGTGGTAATGTCGGGATCCGTCCCAGCTGTGGCGTCTCAGTATACCACGAGCTGCAGCTCGCTGTATACTGAGCTTAGGGTGACAGGAGGACGCTAGTTTGTGTCCACCCATTACCCCTTAGAAGAACTATGGGGAAAAGCCCTGACCCCATAGTTCTCCTTTAACTCCTTTTTTTGGGTAGCCATTGAGGATGTAAGTCCTGGGAAACCAGGTTAAATTTACATTGTCCTAAAAATCCGACTCAATGCTCAGCATCCTAAAAACACAGAGTGAGCACTGCGTATCTTCTGCAGACTGGGGACACCCAAACAAATTAGGTTTTTTTTGACAGAAGAGAAGTATAAAGTTCCTTTTGGTAAAAAAAAAATTAAATTCGAGTAGTATTTTTTATTTGGCTTTAATTGTAGTAAATGGGTTTCGACCATTAGAAGCTTGGAAACATTACAGCTGTGCAGAAACGGCATCCTGGTAGGAGACATCAGTGCTAATCAGGGCAGCATTGTGTGGATTCACTTTAGGTCTCCCACTAAAAAAAATAATAATAATTTGGTTTGGATTTCCTCTACAATTTTGATATCCAATAATAAAATGAATATTTTAATCTAACCACTGGTTGTAGGGGCATGGAGAATGTTTGCCCTACAAGCTCCTGAGAATACCAGCTGGATTCTTGCTGGAAATTGGTACATTCTTTTAATAGACATTTTTTTCAGCTCATGGAGTGTTTCTGTGCTTTTATATGTCAGTCTCCTGTTATCTGAATAGCAATTGTAAACGGTGTTTGTGCCTGCGCTGGAAACCATCATGTAGCTTAACTCCCAGGAAACCTCTCTTCCCACTTGCCTTTGCTGGATGGAAATGGTCATGTAGGGTGTTGAGGGTTGTAATCCTGATTCACAAGTTCTGTACTGCAGCCTGTGATGGCCATTAACTTAAATCCAGTTTTGTAAATTCCTTTTATTAATATACTATTTTACATTGGACACACTTTTACGATACTGTATAGAAAGCTTACAAATCCAATCGTATAGCATAATAACAATAATTTAGCTTGGTTTTAACACACCCATTACAATCACTCGAATACTGGAGCATGATGAGACGCAGTTCTGGTTTCACAAATTCAGTACTAATCAAACTGTTTAATTGCCTTCAATCCCCTACAGAATCTCACATTTGGCTTTCCTTTGTCAAAAAAAAAATTAGCGGTTACAGAGAAAAAGTGTTTTTATCTCCAGAGCAGAAGCAGTTGGAAATCTTCAATTAAATCCTTGCTATAGATGTAGCTTAAGATATTTTTTCTTTTACAAAAATTCCACTTTTAAGAAAATGTACAATTACCTTACAGTTGCTAAACTGTTACTTTAAAGGAGAACTACGGGGTTAAGGCTTTTCCCCATAGTTCTCCTTAGGGTAACGGGAGGACAGAAACTAGCGTCCTCCCGTCACCCTAAGCTCAATATACCGCAAGTTACAGCTCGTGGTATACTGAGACGCCACAGTACACCGCAAGCTACTGAGATGCCGCAGCTGAAGCGGATCCCGACAATTATGTCTGGATCCGCCCAGCTGCGTGAGTGATAGCTGGCTCTGCCTATCTAGAGGCAGAGCCAGCTGTACCCTCCACCGTCCGATCCGCCAGTCAGCGTTGGCGGATCGGAGGGGGGAATCCACCCCCTCCCCAGTCACGGCAGAGAGCTGTGACAGGATCGAGAGGTGAGCGAACGCCGCTATGTGTTTGCTCACCTCCCGATCTACTGAGCCGACCTGTGACAGTCTCATTGTCACAGGTCGGCTAGAACTATGAGGTGAGTGAAAAGCACTCGCCTCATAGCTCTCCCTTAACTACCAGGCGAAGTGCCTGATCTTACATTCAGCCTATGAAGTGATGTTCAGGCTCTCCACCTCCTGCACCATTACACTGAGTGACCAGTAGGTACAGGACGCAGGAGTTGAGTTGACATACCAGAGTGTCCTAGGTTTTCTAAAGGTATCTGAAGCTACAGGCAGACACCTACGTGCTTGTTTCTCAGTTTACTAACCAATACATCATTGTGTTTTCCCTAAATACGCATAGTATATTCTTTCAACTGACTTCTTGCATCTCCTCCTTACAGTTTTGCTCGTTTGGTAGCAGACAGATTGGGAGGGGGTATTACGTTTTCGACAAGCGGTGGGACCACATCCGATGTGCACTTAACTTCATGGTGGACAAACATCTAAACTCCCAGATGTGGAGGTAGGTGACCGTTTGGCTAATTGTATGTCATTTCCGCAGCAAGGCTCCCAGGTGACGCTGCATACAGGAAATGCAGGGACTACCAATTCCATTGGGACGTGAGTTACTTTTGGCCTACCCAGAAATGTCTGCATTATATCGACCATGGGCCATTGGTATTTAGGAGGTGGCAGTAGATTTATTTGTTTTACTATGTGTCCAGAAGGGTAGCTTGTTTGTCCTGTCAGATAAGCAGGCTTTCTAGGTGCCTTCTGGAGACCAGTCTTACTCCACCTATTTACCCTGAATGAACCCAGAAAATAGTTTTCAGTAAATCTTCTTAGAAATGTCCATAGAAAGCTAAATCAGGATTAAGATGGAAGTGCTTGCTGCAGGTCTGTTACATTGGAGGGACACAGGAATAGGGACAGAGATGTGTGGTGTGTGTTCTAATTTAATTTAAAAACACTGTAGAAGATGTGTACATGTTCTGTAATGCATAAAAAAGCCACTATGTGAAGAGATTATAGGTTGTGACTTTCAAATGGCCGTCAATGAGCAGGAGCCATCGTTGTGCAAAGCCACTGATTGGCTGGTAAGGTGGAATTAACAAATCAGGGCTTTGCCTGGAGCAGCTAGTAATTTAATGTCTGGGTTCATTCACACTGGAATATTCATATGAAACGTATTCTACATTTGTATTCCTTTTCCAATGAACTGATCATTTCTTGAATAAGGGAGCTTATGCCACTTATTGCGAATTCGCCTCGTGTGCTGCATTTTTGGGTTGTGTTTTTCCCCATTCATTTAAAATATGAAAGTCTATGAAAATGTAATGTAATATGTCTTTAATTGTATGATCCCATTTGAAAGCTGGTTTGTAGCAGAGCTCGTGAGGTTAAAGTGACATTAAACCCTCAGATATTTTAACATAAAACAATACTGTAATGTGTGCCTTACTGTAATCCAGGGTTGTTTCCCTTCTCTTTGCTGCTCTTCCTTTTAAATCTGTAGCTCTTCTCATGCTGGGCAGAACTTCTGTTTTGCAGCAGACTGCCTTGTCTCTGGAATGGATACACGGTGTCTGTGTGAAGGTTCACAACCTGAGCCAGCACTACAGGAAGAGGCAGTCAGCTGCAAAGGGAAGTTCTCCCCCAGCATGAGAAGAGATAAGGATTTAAAAGGAAGAGCAGCAAAGAGAAGGGAAACAACCATGGATTACAGTAAGGCACACATTACAGTATTGGTTTATGTTAAAAAATCTGAGGGTTTAATGTCACTTTAAGGAACATTTAGCTCCATTGTATGTGAAATGTACAAACGTACAAGTGTCTTTTTTTTTTTTTCTCTCATCAGGTCTAACATAAAATATATTTGTTCATGTATCATGTACGGTAAATACAAAGTATTGCTTATTTAGATTATGCCAGCAGATGGTGTTCTAGTCTCCTTTTCATGTAAAGCAGTTTTACTCTCCGCTATTGTTACAAAATGAATCACATCAGTGATTCATCCTTTGCACCTCTTAGTCTGAGAATTCAGTCAGGCAACGAGAGCCTCAAAGCATTCTTATATGTTGTCTATCTATGTGGCCCG